AGATCATCTAAGCGTTATAGATAAGATAGACGCCATGAAATTCTGTGACAACGTTTGTGTCATCAAGCTAGCTCCCCTCTTACCTTCCCTCCACTTCTATGAGAAGTCGGAGTGTTTGGACGGTCCGAAATAGTCTCGTGACACCATCCCAAGAAAATCTAGTAAAGTCATCGCTGTTCAAGTGAGCTATCACAACTACAAGCCCTCATCCCTGTCAGCTTCCCCGAGAAACAGGAACTCACCCTTTACTTTGCACCCCCAAGTTAGGGTTAGGTTTCCCGAGGTCGCATCAGCACACCCGTGGAAAACTCCTCGTATGACCGTTCCTACTCTTTCTCCTGTTTATCTGTCCTCAACTATATAGTTGGTATCTTCTAAAGCCTCAATGGCTGGCACTACTTGCTCTACCTCAATGGAACTATCTTCTCTGTGTCACTCTAAATAAGCTCTTAATTCGCAGGCAACATTGAACTCTACATTGATTCAGTTGTGGGCTGAGGTGTAGTGTTCTGAGGTCCTTGGAACTCTCTGGCCAGGATGGGAATAGGAGCAGGGGAAATGGTTTGAGCTTCTTGACAGTCCTAGTAGGAAACAACAGATAAAGTAGATGACACTTCACCTCCACAGGGTAAGCAAGCAATCTAGTTCAAAGCAACTCCTCCACTCTGCAAGACTTCTGAGGAAACCTCTTGATCGAATCTACAAGATGGTGGTCAATATAGAGGAGACTAGTTATAATATCACACAATGACCCGCTGTGACTCCACCCTAGACCCAAAACCTAACCCTGACCTAGACTATACTCACTATATGATATTTCTGAGTAAAAGGCTTGAGGGCGGTTTACTTATAGAGGGCGTATTCTGAGTGAAAGTAAGTGAATGACTATAACTAGTCTGGCCCTAACTGGTGCAGACCTCCTGGCTTATATACATGCTAGATAAGCCCCCCTGATACTGCAAGACAAGACCCCTGGTACTTGTGCTAGCTATCCTATTGGCTATCTACTAAACACCTGCTGACTATCTTACTAAACGGTAGTGATGACAAATCCCCAAGCTGGAGTCTGACTAAAATACCAGGTGATGTGTGGGTCTTGACCACTAAGCAATGCTGAGTAGAACTGCTTAGTGAGCTGTTACCTGATTAACAACTGTGTCCTGGAACCTTCTAGCTGGTTCTCTACTATCCTGTAGATACTCTGGCATGCATCTAATCTATATCTAATCTATATCTGATAAGATAAGGTAGGCGCATGCTTATTCTGGAATATTATTTGGAAAACTGTGATAATAAAATTGAATTTGCATGTACTACAATCAACATTCATTGTTCATTAAATTTCATTCTACCTTCTTTTTGTATAATTGGAGCAATTAATATTACTTTTAACTGGGGATGAGACAGGCTAAAAGCAGGATAGATGCTGGGGGAAAAAACATTCAGAGCAGAATTTTCATAGGACACAGATGGGGCTCAAGATCCAGAGACCTTTGGACATAATAAACATGTCCCAAAGGTTCTGAAGAGGTTGGTGGATGTGGTCATCCAGGTAAAAATCAAGTCATGTGAGCTGGCACTCAGTCTAGGTGCTGTGTTGGGTGCCATCTTTCACAACACCCAGGCCATCAATCTCAGAGATAAGGGCAGGGACACATAGCCAAGGTGTCATAAATGATGTCCCAAAAATTCGCGAGGCCATCAGATGCAGTGACCAAGAGTCTTGAAGAGGGCAAGTCAGATGGGCCAACATAGTGTCAGCCTGACACAATGGTACTATTAAGGAAAGCACAGAATAATTTTGTGTTGCTTGTGCTCTAGTATATAACAGTCAGTCTCGATCGCCATACAATAACTACAGAAGGGGAACATTGCGTGAGCTTTGCTGTGCACACACAGGTTGATTGTTAGGTCAATGAGCATGTTCTGAAAGACTATACTATTTTTATCAGTTAATAATCATTCCCCCTTGAACATTGGAAGACGTTTCTCCTTGAACGCGTTCAATGCTTCTATCCGATCGCTGGTATTCAATAACGGCTCATATGATGCTCTCTCGAAGTCGAGACCTGGCAGGGCAAAGGTTAGATGTTGAATCTTCAGACTGCATTCTACTTACCAGACTCCAAACTGAGCTCTGGGGCTCGTGATATTGCCTGCTTCGCTGCCCGCAACGCCAGAGGTGCTAATAGATATTAGCTCTTTCCACCCAGGAATACTACATTATCTCTCACCATTGTGACAGATCTCTTTAGCTAATTCTAGAGATTTGTCGAATGCAGAAGATTCGCAGACGGACACATAATCGACCAAACCTAGCAAACGGTACAGAGTTCGAGGCCAGAGCGTCAAAGGACAAGAAATGGTAAATACCAAGTTCATGAGCTTCAGACGCAGACAGAGAACGCGCAGTAAATATTAAGCTCTTTGCCTTCGCAACACCAAGTAAACGAGTAAGGCGCTGTGTTCCTCCGGCACCCGGAATGATACCCAAGCGCGTTTCTGGGAGTCCAATCTTTGTCACACTATGACCTACGTCGACGAAAAGCCATGTGGTTGATTGGAAGAGCTTTAAGTGAGAGAAAACTGACACTTACCTGCAACTCGTAAGTCACAAGCGAGGCTCAACTCGAGGCCACCGCCAAGCGCAGGCCCGTCGATGGCAGCTACTGTTGGCATGGGCAGGTTCTCTAGACTAGCCAGCGCACCACGCAAATCGAGGAGGAACTTATCCACTTGGGCTTTGGTCATAGAGCGTCTCTCAATAAGGTCTGCACCAGCACAGAACGAGCCAGGCGCAGATGACCGAATAATGAGAACACGGACGCTGTTTTACCGTCAGCAATTGGTAGGAAGAGTTCCATTAGGCACACCACGATATAAACGCACCTATTATCGAAATGCACCGTATCCAGACATTCGCGGAACTCCTACGAACCACGCGCTCGATGTCATTGGAAATGTTCCCGAACTTCCAGCATGAATACCTGCAGTAATTTGACCGAAATTGCATTTTTCGCTTGTGGGCGATTGAGAGCTAGACAGGAAATACCAGGATGAGAAGATAGATTCTCGAGATACGCTTCGGCTTGTGTCGTAGCTGTTTGAATGTCTCTACACAGTCGACGAGGAATTGAATGTGATGTACTAGAGCTTGGTCGGTATAGAATAGAGACGCTGGCAAGCACTCTTCCACTAGTAAACTGCAGCACTTTAAGACTCATTTTGGTCTTTTGGCGAAGTCGGTGGAGTCAGACTTATACGGTACAGCAGAAGGCAGTCACGACTTGTCGCGCCGGTTTGATATAATATAAGTCCAGCAACTTGGAAAGCTTCACTGAGATATTTACCAGGCCTGTTAATTTAGTCTACAATACTCCGACACTTACATACTAAGATCAGTGAAGGCATCTCCGGTTCCTCTATTTCGACCATCAGCTCTGCGCACGCTCTTTGTCGACTATACCCACAATCACAATCCTGCCGGTATGATCACCTTACAATGAATGTCCCCTCCAATCCTATTCCTCTCGCTTGTAGACTTGGTATGTTTCCGATCGTGCCTTTCACGCGTTGCTGACCACACGCAGTGACCACCGACCAATGGCTTATTACAAATGTCGACAGCAATTTATCCATTGCTCGGGTGAAGCAATTCTTACTTAGCAAATTCTCTCCTTTATCTTTGCGAAAGCACTCTCCTCCAAAGAGAAAGTCCGATCGGAGGGGGCGCGCGCTCTCGCCAATTACATTCTCTTTGCGTGGGCACGACGAGTATGGCGATGGAAGCGAGGACGATTGGGAGGAGGACGTTCTATCTGACTCAGAGTTAGGCCATGCCTCTGATGACCCAAATCATTTGAAGTATAAGTACAGCCCCTCTCTGCATCAAGCAGGGCACTCCTCGTCGACTCTTGTCACTCGTACGCCTGTTCCTGACTCATTGACGTCCGACGGACGCTACGCTCTGCTGTCGTTCTCAACTGGCCAACTGCTGGAAGACCACTTCAACCTTGCGTGGTACTGTCTACTGCCGTACGAACTGCTCGAGCTCCACCCCGGCCCAGACACTGTGGTATTACTTCCCCGGGGCATGCCCGAGGCCTACATCCGGCCCTATTTCGAGGCGCGCGTGTGGGCATTACGTGTTGTCGGTACCGAGTTAACGGCTGAGCACATCTCTGTCGTGGAGTCCCAGGCAAAGGACAGGGGTAAAGAGAAGGAGCGAGAGAAGAGATTGCCAAATCGAAACGGAGCAGGAGGTGACATGGTGCACGAGGCGCAGGAGAGAGACAAGTCTAGTGGCGAGATGAGAAAAAGGGATAAGGCAGAAAGGAGACGTAGGAAGAAGATGGAATGGCGTGACCGATGGGTGGTCATTCATCAGGGTATGTTCAAGCTCTGCAGGGGTCGTTTTGTGAGTGTTCTCCGGTTGTTATCTCCTTTGAGGTATTTGCTCCAGTGCGCGGAACAGCTGTGTATGATGTCTTATCCGACCCCTCCTTTTTGTCGTTCAGATGCTTGAACCATGATGCTGTAGTTTCAGCTGAGGTTTGGAGCATGATAGCTTCACTCTTCCCTCAATTTGACTCGGCTCGTTTTGCTATTTTTCCTGCGCTCTGTACCCTATACTTTGAGTTCTTATATGTTTGTTGTACAGGATCCTCAGCCTACGCATATTGCACCTTTGAATGCGATTCTTTGCCTTCGCAGTGGTGATCACCTTTATTCACCCAAGGATGCGCCACCAGCATCTTCCACATCTACACCGCTCTCATCCCCAACGTCACCCACGGCGCATCTGCATCTACCTCACGCGGACGTTAACACTTGTAGGATCCTATGTGTAAAGTTTCGATCAGGCCCGCACCCTCCTCCCCATTCTCCCACCCATACAACTACTGCGTCATTGCCGTCTTCACAGCCTGTTTCTAAGGCAGGTATGCAAGAACGATTGAGGACCACCAGTGAGAGCAGCACAGGCTGGTGGCGCCGAGCTTCCCGCGATGTTCAGGACGAAGTCTTGCCTACATCAGAACATAATGCTGGGACATCTGATCGTGATCAGCTCAATATACCTGACTCAGAAGACGATGGTAACGGAGTTTGGATTGTAATGAACATGCTCAATGATGCAGCTTTCGATAACGTTCTCCGCATTTTGCATCGCCATGCACCCAACCTCTGCACATCATCCTTTGTCGATCATCTCGGCCCTCGTGTTACTGACTCTCCATCTGCGATGGCGACATACTTGAAGCCTTTACCAGATCCCGCACATACACCCTCTTCTCTTGATATTCCTGAGGGTAAAGTCGCTCCCAGTCCATCTCGATTTTTGGAAGCATCACCAAGTCGTAAATTGTCCACGCTGAGGCGCACTAATAGACAGAAGATCAAGAGCCTACATTATCCCGACTGGCGCCTAGCGGTAGTGCAACGTGCACGCAAAGCTGGACTTGGGCCTATCGGCCGCGCAATGGAACTTGTCATGTTTGGCGACGACAGTTTGGACGATCTCTCGTGTGGGGTCCTTAACGAGGACTCCGGAGACGAGCTGGCGGAAAAGACCAAAGACAGGCCTGGCGTAAACATTGTCGTTTCTCCCGTTCGGCCTCTAAATTCCGCTCCTCCATTGAAAGTTACGTCGCCTGTAAGAGGCGATGGCACGATGATCCCCCCCGCCTTATGGCGCTGCAATCTTGACGGCGAAAGTGAGAGCGACAGCGAGGCTAGCTCTGAAGAGAGCGAAAGGGAATGGGAAGGATGGCCCGACGATCTCGTGCGCCAGCAGCGCGCACATGCTCTTACTGAGGAGCTCCGCTTGGATCAGCTCGAGCGCGATATAGAGATGACTGCGCAGGTGGATTACCGCCGGATTCCCTGGGCTAGCGACCCGACACCCGTCTGGGGAAGTGCTGACCCTGCTAGTTTGAGCGATGGATCCCCTGGAGACTTCTACAGCTCATCTCCGAATGGCAGTTCGTGGTGGGTTGCTGATGCTCGTGCGGAGCTGGGCTCACCTTCGCTTTCACGGGCACGAACACTGAACTCGTATTCTTCTGCTGATTCGTTAATTCGGAGGTCGATTCGTGGCACTCAAAGACGTTCCCGTGCTCGGATATTCGAACGCAAACGCGACAATCTTTCACCGACGCGTCAAGTCCGTCCTCATTCACCACTTTCATCTCAAGTACATGTGACAACAAATGAAGAGGATACCCCTTCCACAACGGCTTCGGGGTCTGAACTACGCATGCCCCTCCCCTTGCGGATGCCAATACCCGTCACGATGCGAATGACGACGATGCGTTCACCTATTACAGATGATCAACATCAACCATCCGGCACGCCCCTGAGTGTAAGAGCCAATAAGGATAAGCAAGATGAGGGTAGCGACAGCCCTACAGAAGGACAGCAGAATGGTCATTCCCAGCATGCGAGTGAGGCGCAAGAGCCGCCAAAGCTCAAGTCGATTTCGAAAAGGACGTCTACGACAAACAGGAAAAAATCCGTGCCGCTTTCCAGACTAAGGCCATCCCTACTCCCCAGTCTCGCTTCAGCTGGTGCAGAGATTTCTATACGACCAGCATCGAGTCCGAGCAGCGTGGAGAGCATTAGGTTTGTCGACCCTGACTCCGATTAATTAGTTTATTCCATATTTGCTCCCGGTTTGTATTGTAGTATGTATCTCGGATCTTCTCTAGCTGGTGGAAGTAGTGTATTTATCGGAAGAGTGTCTCGTTCAACATTAGTTATTCTGGAAGGCTGCTATTGTATTTTACAATAATTGGAATGCTCAATATAGCGTAACTTTTGGCGTGTAACTACGACCGTCATGAGTGCAATGCAGGGAAATCTCTATCAATACGGTAAATCGCGCAGCGCAGTATCATTGATGGCGTAGAGGCGGTATGAGCTCAAGAAATACGATGAAAACGCAGAGTTGTATAAGTCGTCAGAGCGTATAACGAAAGTCAGGGGCACGATCTCCCATTCGTCGAAGTTCGTCGTCAGCGTATGCTACACCTCTCTCGTGTAACTCGCGCTGCGTGATGTCTCTGCTGGCGTTGATCCTCTTGTATATCAACACTGTGAGAGGGAGCGATATAAATCCAATGCCGACGAACATAAGCTCAATTCCGTCTGCAGATATTGATACCATACGTGAGTAACTCGTTGAGCAATATAAAGACATCATACTTACGTCCCAGGATATAACGCGGCGCATCCTCCGAGAGATATATATTACTTGCAATTGCTCCCCCAAAGTTTCCTATTCCAATCTGAAGCGCCATTCCGACACCCCGCTTGTACTGTCCAGCAAGATTGTTCCCTAGCCTTAAAATTCATTTAGTCCGATGACTCATTATATAGAATTTAAGAGCTGCGTACCATGCAACAATTCCCGGGAACGCAGCATATGATCCCGATACACAAAAGAATGTCCCAAAATACTTGACTCCAGCCGGAACATCCGATATATTGATGACAAACCCGATCAGACACATAATCAGCCCAGCCAGGATGAATGGGGATCGTAGCTTTATGTGGTCGGACCACACGGCAAATATCACCAGAATTATGGCTGTGAGCAGGTCAGTAAGGTCAAAGTGTCGCAAGAATTGGTGGACCCACTAGCGCAAACATAGGGCGGGACGGTGAGCAATTCGCTAACTGCGGTGCCGTATCCAAAGCTAAAGGAATGTAAGCGATCCTACAACGTACCAGACCCTTTGTCATGGCAACGCACCCAGTAATAATAGACCTATACAGTGCGGCATTAACGTTAGGAGAAGGCATACAGAGTTTCATGTTTCCTTACGGTAAGAAGAGAGATATGCCGTAGACTAGGTGTCGAATAAATAAGTGTCCCATTCAGACTTGTTCCGCGAGCACCACTCACGAGGTGTAATAATAGAAAAATAAACAACAATTTGTAGCCAAATCTAAGCCATGAACTTAGCTTTCCAGTCTCACGAAGGGAAACATACGGACCCACCTGCCAATCAGTGAACGCTAAAATAAGATGCCTCATTTCAAAATCCTCCTCCTCTCCCACAGAAGAGATGTCGTACTCTTGATAATCACGTCACAAAATGACCCAAAAAATGAGTTGATAGAAACATACTTTTTCGCCAGATAATCCAGGCACGTTCCTCCGGAGTAAGGAATGTCGCTGTGTCCGGAAAATCAACCAATACTGTGGACATCAAATTCATGAATGGAAAAAATTACATCAGGGAGGACAAGTCTGTTTACCAAATAATGCGATCACGCTGACCACGACGGTCCCAAGTCCCTCAAGGATCTGGGGTTCAGTATTAATTCTTATCCATGCTCTGGGAATGAGTAACCGCACAAAAATCCATGACCAACCGAGCAAGCCAGAAGTACCAGACATGAACGAAATGCCCCATGCGAGTAAGCCGGAAAAGGCGCCTACATACTAGATCAGGTATATTCGGGATGATTCAGCTCAAAAGTAGTACACAAACAAGCTTACCGGCGACAGTAGCACCTCCAAACAAGAGACCGACCCGATATTGCAGCATGTATCTAGGATACCACAACGTCATACTGGCGTAACACATTATGAGTTGTAAGCATGCATCGAAAAATGAGGCTTGTCAGCTCACTAGTATACCACGCCGGGAAATAGCCCTGCCTCTGCTATGCCAAGACATATCCGAACACCGACGAGCTGCGGATAGCTAGTGCGTTCGGGTTAACATCACAGTGCGAGCATTAAGACATATAAATTCAAACTTCTTCACGTTTTTACCAGGCCCATGAGGGTCCTGCACGGTCAAGTCCAATCAGAGAAGTTGGAAAACCTAAAAATAGAAACCCTACATTATTATACCCCACAATAACTAGATCGATATCGAATCAATAAGGAGGTGGAGGGTGGGGTTCTCGAGGTACGCACAGTGATTCCAGGTAACCATCTGTTAGAGAATGATACATTAGACGTTTAAATGTCAGAGCGGTGACGTACCTTGAAGGGCGAAATTTCTTTAGTAGCAGGCTAAGTAAATAAGTGAGTGAGTGCATTGAGTTATAGTGCTATTAGCATCGATTTCACTGACTTCGCCGGGCATTCGAATAAGCAATATGGCTGTTTTCATAATATTCAGCCTTTTAACGCAGTCTATTCAGGTCAGTACTGACCACAAAGTACATAGTCTAAGACGCGGGTTGGAACTGATCAGAAACTCTGATCTCACCGAAAGCCAAAGGTCACTCAAACTCACAAGAGCAATATTGTATTTGTTCCCCGTCAGATCTAATTGTGTCGTTAAGCCTTGAATCTTCGCGTTCCCTTCAAATTTCCGTATGAGTACGTCAGCTGGAATGTATGATACGAACGTAGCATACCAATGTTTCCTAGCGAAAATCGAGGTGGTCAGATCATTTCTTCCATCATACAATCAAAAACGCCCTTGCCTCTATCCAGGAACGAACATAGGTACATAATCGTGACAATGGGTAGTATCCTCGCATCTATCTTTCGCCATAACTTCCTCTCCTGTTCTGATGTGAGTATTGGCCGCCTTGGTAGGGGCGGTGGTTCAGTGGTGTCAGACTGAGACGTATGTTCGAGTGCGTCAAGCTGACTCTTCTCTAGTTCGACGCTCCCACAGGTCTTGCTTCGCGAAGCGGACATCTCTGAGAACCAGGGTCAAACGGAGACAGTAGGAGGCCAAAGTGCGGTTCCGGTGGGAAGCGCATCAGTATATGAGCGGTATTGCATAAATATATATATATTGCGAGCTGCTCACCTTTTGCGCAAACGCCAACCGGCGCTACGGGACAATAGAAGACGCATATGTATCCTGGTCACGTCGACATCTTCGTGATCGAATGTGGAAGTGATGCCCCGCATTATCCCAGCGTTGTCCCGCAACGCCTCTCGGCTACGGCGATAAGAGGTGTGGGGTGTTACCATCATGCTCATTGCTGGTCTCATGACCCCCAGCGATAGAGCATCGGGACCTGACGGCAGCCCTTCCTTATCGTTAAGACGGGTTTCCCGGGCCCGACGGTAGGAGAGTGCGCACATCTCTTTCGTATTGCGTTAGCTTTTTTTATCATCCCTTTAGTGTCCGCGAGGGCCGAGCCCTATGTAGACAGTAAGTACATGAATTGCGTTAGCTTGATGGATGCTCAAGTACAAGCAGTGTCGTGAATGATCGAAGATCTAAGGAATGTTTGAACCCGCAATTCCCGTAGCCTGAAGTGTTATGTGCTGAGACTGTATAGCAGAGTCGTATGTGGACATGCTGGAACAAGAACGGGAGTGCCTCCGAATCAGAAGTTGCAGGGCAGCTCTCGCGATCTGTTGTAGTTGCTTTGTTTCGCGCCACAATGGACAAGGGATCGAGTACGCTATGGCCTGTGCCACGCACGTATATATAGTAGCCAGCAGAGGGGTCGTAACCCTCATGCGATTATCCCCACGTCCAATCGACCCGCGTCCCGGTTCCAACCATCGAACTCCAACACGACCTGAGTGGCACACATTCTATTCGAGATGTTAGCGACATCGGACCGACTCCCGACCACAGGTTGCCAGAGCTGTGGCATTGGCAATTCGTATTGGGACTCGAGATTAAAGACTGGATTGTGTCATAGAAAAAACCTCTATGCTGGTTACAAAGTATAACGGAAGTCTGGCGCACGATCACCCATCCTCCGCAGTTCATCATCGGTACACGTAAGGGCTTTTTCGTGCAATTCACGCACCAAGACGTCTCTTCGTGCGTTAATTCTAGCATAGATGAATCTGGTAATGGGAACAGTTATCCACCCGATGGCGATGAACATGAGGACAATGCCATCTGAAGACGTGTTCCATGAATATACTGTATCATGAAGTGTGAAACATACGACTCACGCCCCATTTCATATCGCGGTGCGTCTTTTGAGAGATATACATTACAGGCAATTGCCGTGCCAAAGTTTCCGATACCAATCTGGAGGGCCATTCCCACAGCACGTTTGTACTGACCTGAAAGATTATTTCCAAGCCTGTTCGCATTACGATGTCAATATGGTAATAAACAAAATGGGCGAGTCATTTACCAAGCTATGACTCCGGGCAAGGCACCGTAGGATCCTGCAACGCAGAGGAAGGTCCCGAAATATTTGGCTCCATTTGGTGCGTTAGTTATGTTGATGATGAAGCCAATTTGACACATAAGCAATCCGTAAAGGATAAACGGGGATCGTTCCTTGTTGTGGTCGGACCATACTGCGAAAATCACTACAATAATCGCTGCAAGCAAGGTGGGTGATATAGAAAGTTGTTATAGGACAATACTCACTGGCAAAAACATAGGGTGGAACTGTTAGCAGCTGGCTTATAGCTGTATCGTATCCAAAACTGCCATGTCGCGTACTTCAGTGGCTGAGGTGAAGGTCTCCGCAAGTATATCACCTACTCATTTATGATTGTCCTACGTGATCTCGCTGAGTCCTCTGAACATGATGACGATTTATATCAACTTACGGTAAGAAGATCGTTATTCCGTAGACTATAATGAGGCTGAGACCTAAGTTGCATTGTCGATGTGCAAATAGCTTACGTGGTGTGACAATGGAAAAATAATTTAAAATCTGTAGCCATATCTGAATTTCCAGGTATTAGATATATTCTTCCGTTAGATCATGCAAAGTCCCGACCTGCCAGTCTGTGAACGCAGAAATTAAATGTCTGATTTCGAAATGTTCCTCTTCTCCGACCGACGAATTGTCGTACTCTAGCAGCGCCAAAAAGTCTGCATGGATCGTGATGACAGAGCAATCATGGAGCTTACTCTTCGTCCATAGCACGTAAGCTCGCTCCTCTGGAGTGAGAAAAGTAGCAGTATCTGGGAAGTCCACCAGTACTGGTAGAGAATTTATGATGAGTTTCGCCTCAAGACGCAGAACCGAGAATGACCAACTGAAGAATGAAACCAATCCGATCACGACTGTCGCTATTCCTTCAATGATCTGCCGCATGACGGTAGGTCACGATTGTATGAGACAAACATAAGACAATTAGCGTGCGTACAAAAATCCATGACCAGCCCAGAAACCCTGCCGTTCCCGACATGAAGGAGATTGCATAAGCTAAAAGACCAGAAAAGGCGCCTACATTTTAGAGCAAATGAGGTAGGGGTATATCTCGCACGATGAACTAACCTGCGAGTGACGCACCGCCATAAAAAACACCAATGCGGACTTGTAGCATGTGGCGAGGGTACCAGAGCGTCATGCTATCATAAAGAAAAGTTGGTAATAAGTAGAAAATCGACCACACTGAGTCATGAATACACACTAATAGATGGCACCAGGGAACAGGCCTGCCTCTGTCACACCAAGCAAAATGCGAGTACCGACTAGTTGAGGGTACCTGTGGGAAACAATATCAGCTGCACACCGACACAATGATCTCATCCTTTCCAAACGTTTTTACGAGACCCATTAAAGCGCTGATGTTCAAATATGGTCAGCCATTAGTAGGAGAAGGAAATAACCAGCCCTTCACATGATTGTCCCCCAGAGAAGCTGCATCGTGATAAGACACAGCCCGTAAGAGGCTCATTCAGTGAGAGGAAAGGACTAACATACAGTGATTCCTGGTAGCCACCTGAATGTTGTGATCAGCTTTCGAAACGTTGTAGGTCAAACGAGTGTCATACCTTGACGGCCGGATTTTCTTTAGGACTAAACTAGATTTGAGAGCAGTAAGATCATCTCACTTGCATATATTTTCTTTGATCCTGTCTATACTTACTTTGCTGGACATTCGCATAAACAATATGGCTGGTACCGCAAAGGTTAGATATACACAGTGTCTTGAGGATAATTCGAGAAGGGGACGGACAATAAAGTACATTGTCTGTGACAGAAATCTTGACATTTTAGAAATACGACAAGAGACGGGATAGAGATCTGACTGACGAGAGCAATATTGTATTTATTCCCTGTTAAGTTCAGCTGAGACGTTAGTCCTTCAAGCCTTGCATTCCCTCGATTTGTAACACGTTTAAGTAAGTACACAAATGTCTCCAAATGCAAGATATGTGATCGCATACCGATGTTTCCTAGGAGGATATGAACATCTCAAACTTTTTAAATTCAATTTGACTATCGCTGACCTCTGTCCATGAACGAGAACAGGTACATGACTGTGAGGATGGGCATAATTTTCACGTCGATCTTCCGCCATAATCTCTTCTGCTGCTCCAGGCTTAACGCAGGCGTCGGTCCTTCCGTCTGACCTTGCGCATACTCGACTACGAGTACCGACCTCTTGTCAACCTCTAGATGTCCAGGATTACTTGTTGGGGAAGGCATTTCAGACGGATGTGAAGATGTCGAGGGAGAATTCACATCTCTGGTTCTAGAAACGAGGCCCTATGTAGACTGCGAGTATATCACCTAGTGACCCCAGTCCACACCAAGATTATGGAAGCCAAGACATGGCCAAGCACAACAGAAGGTTGAAGAGCTCGATGACACCTCGTCTAGCTGAAATCTGCTATGATCACGATGTAAGTCTTTACCCATATCGAACTATAGAGTGCTTCGGATACAATGGTGGCAGCTTCCGTCGGCGTATCACGCACATTCAACAACCATATGACCATTTTGTCCGTAAGAATGTGATTGAAAATGGTCATGTGAGGTTTCGACGGTGAAAATACAATCTCCACATGAGGCGCAGGATAAACGGCACTGACAACCTGCCAGGGGTAGATAAGAAAATACTGGACCATGAAACCGTTTAATATCAGCCCCAGTTGGAAGTAGACCACCTTCCCAGAAAGGACAGACATTTACCTGTCATATTATAAGTAAGCGCCGAAACCAGAGATCTTATCATTCAACGCGCTCCCCTTCACCCATGGAAGAACTATCATACTCTGCGTGGGTGTTTCAAATGTGCCACTTTGGTCAGCTTGGTCTTGGGCCAGACAACGAAGGCATTATCAGCTGTGAAAAATGTTAACGCATGCGAAAAGTGTATCAATATTAGCATATACTTAGACTCACAATGTATACAATAAGCTCGACTCTTTCGTATCGCGGAGTTGAATCAATCATTCCACAGTGGTCGCGATACCTTCAATAACAACCAGAAGTCGTTGATGATCAGAATTCGAGTGAACCCAAATGCCAGGGAAAATCTGACAGGAATACATAAGCAGCAGGGCATCATAGGCGCACATTAAGCTCGAGTCCTGTCTGGTCGAGAGACCTTCAATTTTTGCATGTTCTGAGTAAAAGTGAGAATTTTTGTCCCGTATTCAGTACAGACGGGAGTATGCCAATGATTCTTGGAGATGTGACTATCATACTATTTGTCACCGAAGGGCGAAAAAAAAAATCGACTTCAGTCCAAGGAGCATAAATGCATACCTCCGGCTGATGCCTTATCATGGCACCTTCTACTGCTCTGGGATCAGGATAGGCATTGATACAGGGTTACAGACCTGTATACCCTTGGCTTCGTCCAACACGCCCCTCTCCGAGTCAGGCTCTACAGTATTTCACAATTTGGTTATCTCTTTTGGTGTATCCCTCCGTCAACGTTATCCCTCCGCCAGTGTTATCAATTCAGCGCCCGCGCTCTGGTTTCCTTCAACGCGCGATCATGAAGAGGAATTGCGTCCTTCGCCGTCGGATACCCGCCTGACTCGGACGAATTGTTGCATGACATAGTGCCGCTACGGGCATGGTCATATGAGCATGATAAGATAATAACCAGCCTATCCGAAGCATTCTTCTGCTCGATGTGGGGTACAGGTCCACTTTCACAACCTCTACAGAATTGGTGTGATCGAGGCACCGTCGAGCTTGCGAGCCTTCTCTTGCTCTTGACTATGGCTTGGCTTATGCAATTCCAACACGGACTGGAGTCACTCGGGAATATGCGTGCAGTATACCTATAACCACAGGGTTGGAACTAAGGTGTGTTGTATCCCTCTGTGTCTCTGGCACTTCTCTGAAATGTCCTCTTCGAAGAGTAAATCTGGAAGCTTAGATGTGGACGTGAAATCTGTGAATATAGCCGAATGCGCACAAGGTTCGACAAAGACGCCATCGCCGGCATTCACGCCGGAACAACAGAAGAAATTATGGCGAAAGATCGATGCAAGGATTATGCCCGTCCTCACGATTATGTACCTATTCTCCTTCATGGACAGAGGTCAGTCTTTATCAGTTTATTGTGGCACAAAAGATTCATTCATTTGTAGGAAATATTGGTAGGCAATTCCAGATGCCCTTTTTTCAAAGACACACGTGCGATAACCCAGTCAAAACATATCGTCTTCAGGCAATGCGAAGCTAGAAGGCCTTACGTCTCAGCTGCAATTAACAGGAAATAAATACAACATCGCTCTCGTCAGTGAGCCCTACATCACCACATCCTGCGCTACTGACTGTCTGCTCTAGACGATGTATTTCATTGTTTGTCTTCCCTTGCTCACAATGTCGTTGCCATTTAATCCTCAAATTAGCCATACTGTTTATTCGAATGCCCAGCAAAGTAAGGAAGGTAAAATTTGAGCATAGGAGCGCAGATTTGCTAACAGCGCTCATAATATCAGTTTAGTATTGAAGAAATTCCGACCATCTAGGTGCATCGATCGTTGATATATTCTGTTTCCACCGAGTTAATTGACTGCACGTTGTTAGGTGGCTACCAGGAATCACAGTCAGTCAATCACTCGTTGTTGGTCGTCGCTTCTTATGACCATCCGGATGATCACTTCTAGCTTCTCTGGGGAACCATTATGTATGTTACTTTCATTGTTTTGCATTATGTCTCATTATGCTCAAATGCCCAGGGCTCTGATGGGTCTCGTTAAAACGTGAGATCGGATTTAAGTTGGTAATAGACTGTACGCACCGCTGAGCATGACACACAGGTATCCGCAACTTGTGGGCACTCGCATCTTGCTTGGTGTCACGGAAGCGGGTCTATTCCCTGGCGTTGTCTACTAGTATGCACCAGTTTTTTTGTTTTTGCATCAGGTCGCAATAACACTGTATTTTTCCCACAGCATGACTCTCTGGTACCCTCGTCATATGCTACAACTTCGTGTGGGCGTGTTTTATGGCGGCGCGACACTCGCAGGTCAATCTGACTCCTGATCCATGCGGGATGTCTCTCATAATTTTGAAATCAAAAGGTGCTTTCTCTGGCCTGCTGGCATACGGTATCTCCTTCATGTCAGGTACAGCCGGCATGCTGGGTTGGTCTTGGATTTTCGTGTGTAGTCCATTCATCTTCGCAGACTATAATCTAATAGTACAGGGAAGATCATCGAAGGAATTGCCACAGTTATAGTTGGATTCATTTCATTTTTTAGTGGGTGGACTAGGTATTATTGACAAGGTTGGACGGAATTTACTTTCAATTGTTAGTACTTGTGGATTTTCCGGATACTGCCACATTTCTCACTCCCGAAGAACGTGCATATGTTATCTGGACTAAGAGTCAGCTCCATCATCGTGTTTTCATGAGCATACTGAATCACCTAAAATCTCTAGAGTATGACAATTCCTCGGTTGGCGAAGAAGAACACTTCGAACTCAGGCATTTGATTGCTGCATTCACGGATTGGCAGGTTAGAACATATATGTCGTTCACTGGCGAACACACCTGATACGTTATATTCAGATATGGTTGCAAATCTTAGTCTACTTTTCAATCGTTATGCCCTGTGAGCTGTCGCCATTTTGGCAATGTGACAATCGTTCTCATTCTGATTGTAGTATACGGAATAACAATATTTTTACCGTAAGTGGACATTTGTGTATGTTCCTGCCGCGCTCAGTTGGCAGATCGGGATGACGCAGGACAATCATCAACGAGTGAGTAACATAGTTTGTCGCTCGCTCGCCTAGGTCATTCAATCGAATACAATCCTAGCTTTGGCTACAACACAGCTATTAGTGAATTGCTCACAGTTCCTCCTTACGTCTTCGCAAGTACGTATCATCAAGTATAAATGAGCTCTGCTTCATTAACCTTGCTTACAGCGATACTTGTAGTAGTGTTCGCAGCATGGTCCGACCACATCAAGATGCGATCTCCATTTATTATCGTTGGGCTTGCCATGTGTCTCTTTGGGTTCGCTATCAATATATCGGATGCGCCAAACGGCGTCAAGTACTTTGGGACGTTCTTCTGCGTAGCCGGAGCTTACGCCGCTTTCCCTGGAAGTGTAGCCTGGTGAGTAATTCTGCTATATTATTGGTCTGCATCCCGGTACGAATGGCACGAAACAGGCTCGGAAACAATTTAGCCGGCCAATATAAACGAGCTGTGGGCATGGCTCTTCAAATTGGCGTAGGAAATTTCAGCGCAGCGATTGCGTCCAACGTATATATCTCACAAGATGCACCGCGATATATCATGGGCCGTGAGTTTAACGTTCTTCGATGCCCCTTACCTGCAGATAATGAATCATATATTCAGATGCTATCGCTCTCATGTTTATTGGCATCGGCTTTATATTCTTGCCCCTCACTGTGATAATATACAAGCATATCAACACCAAAAGAGACATTGCGGCGCTCAACATGCGCAAGAGGTATACCGACGATGAGCTACGCAGGATGGGCGACCGTGCTCCTGACTTCCGCTACACTTTATGATACCAACACAGATTTGGATAATTCACCCCATAGTCCGTTCGGCTACCTGAGGTCGGCCCGACTTAACCGGCTGATTTGCGCGCTCTTTTGCTCCAACGCGACTCACCTCAATTTGCCACTAAGCCTCGTCGACGGCCTCGTTTCTCAGCTGGTTTACTATCTCGTACGAGCCTATACATAGCACCGTATATGATATAGAGCTGCTTAACTGAGAGCCCAATCATGAATCATTCCCCTAAGCATTGTTGCCGAATTGCTCTTCTCGTCCGAGACTCCAATAAGTAACTCGAGTCTCGTTCAATCGCCTGTATAATGAGCCTGTTGTTTGTGTTCTTCTGGGAGTGTGGTCAAATATCTGTCGACCTTGGGTTCTGTGTTCGTCTTTATTGCTTCAAGTTCCCATTTATTGCCACTTCTCGTCGTCAAGAGCCCGTGTAAACACCCATTAAGGAACGAAGATCTACGTAAATGTCACCGTCGACGAAGTCAGAAACTCCGAAGGCGATGCGTACAGTATATATAGAAATGAATAGCACTATTTGAGACTCTGGTGCGCTTCTTCCTTCATTTCTCGTTGCTGGCAGGCTCATTAGGGAAGTTCAAAGTTGATGCAGCTGGGCTCGCAGAAAGTTCTGCGGCGCAGATGCGGATTTAGGCGCTGAAGAAAATGTGAGCCGAGATGCAAAAACGAGAAAAAATGCCTATGTCTCCTGCTTATCTAATGTCACACTCAGATATACGATTGCGATTATTAATGAGCATGTTTTGGAGAACCCTAGCGTGATAGGATGCCTAACCAACCACTGCATGATAAGTACATCCACTCATATGTGCTGTTTGCTGCCCTCTGAGAGGTATTCACACAGCTTGAGAGTCTTGAGGCAATATATCAACAGCTTAATATTGACGTCAAGGTACTTCAGGCAATCAGGACAACTCGATACTGGCGCGGACGTGAACGCGTTTTATGCCTCGGAAATCTACATCTGGCATGGGAGTACCAGAAAGATCACAGGGATCATGGATGGTTTATACAGATGCTGCGGGTATCTCCATATGTCTTCAATGTCATCCCCACTTTTACTAAGTTTTTCATAACAATTCGAATAATCCCCAAGCAACTGTTCAGACCCAGCTGGCAGTCACGCCCGATCGAATGGGTTCTGGAATAGGGCATCCGTTGAAGATATCGTGCGCCAAGCAGGAATTGAAGAGGAAACCGTTCTGCGATACACAGATCGCTGTTTCAAAGCGATTGAAAGTCTGCACGACTTTTTTGTCCGACCACAGTATGATTCTCAAAGGGAGTCGATGACGTTCGGCGTGCCATGCGCGATCTACCGAAGGTCATACTTGGGTCATAGGACCAGTGTGACCGCATTTTCAAGAAACTCGCATTTTTTCTAGCGCCCAAAAGTGCATCTGCGCCACAGAACTTTCTGCGAGCCCAGCTGCGTCAACTTTGAACTTCTTTACCCAATGAGCAGAATTGATGCTTGTCGTTGACGTTGAGGTGGGATCGTGACTGAGCAGATTGGAAGCGCGCAGCAGATGGGCGCTTAATTGCCAACCACACAGGCTACTAGTGAATAGTGATGAACGCAGAGAAGTCGCTTGTAATTTTCTGAGGTATATGCCACTTTACACGTACATACACATCTTTTCTATGTTTACATTAAAGCAGCTTTGAGTAGGTACATCACTAAAGGGTCATCATCAAACTCCTACAGCGGTAGTTGAACTCAAACCCCTAGCTCGATATAGTTATCTGCGATGTTGTACAAAATGTGATCCGCAAAGCAAACGCGAAAGCATCAAATAAAAAAAGACATAGCCAGGATCCTATTGATACATTAAGTTGCTGTAGCGGATGGGAGGTATGTTAGCATATATGTGCGGCGGAAAGACAATGCATAACAAGCGGACCTTGCGTCGAACTCTTCCATAAGCTCTAGGACCTGCATCAGATGCTTATACCCAAGTGTTTCTTGCTGACCAGCAGCTAGAGCCGCGGCGGTCTTCACGACATTCTTGATTTGGCGCCCGTTAATCTTTTTCTCGCCGAGATCGCGCAAGTCTTCCTTAGACAACCCTCCGTCCTTCAAGTCGCCGTTCACCTTGCGCAAGAAAGCGATCCAAATCTGTCGACGTGCATCCGAATTAAGATCATGGTACCGTAGCGACACGTGGATGCGTGATTGGAACGCTTCATCGAATACCCGTACTCGGTTCGTGGTCAGGAAGAGAATGCCGCGGAAATATCTGAAGCATCATCGGTTAGCGCACGCGAATGAGACACTAAATATTAAAAGCTTTACTCAAGCTGTCGCAAGAACACAGCAACCATGGCATTACGTTCAATAAGGTGAAGGGAACGTTCCTCAAGGAAAACGTCTGCCTCGTCTATGAGAACGACAGCGCCCCAAGAGGCTGCTACCTTTAATACAGAAGACAGCTTGGAATCTAGAGCTTCTGCGCTGGTTCCCAGTTCTGCTGCTCCCACGACGTAAAGCGGCTCTGGAGTGACGTTAGCAACAATTATCATTTTCGGTTACCACTGACACTGCAACTCACTTCGAAGATCTGCACAAATAGAGCAATTAATCTCGATCGACTGCTGAGACGAGTGAGTACATACGTTCACTCATAGCCTCTGCTGTGAGACTCTTTCCTGTTCGTCCAACCACGTGTTAGAATTATTCAGGTCTATTCAGAACAGCCAACTAACCTGTTCCCGGATTACCGAACAAATTGATAACAAGTCCAAGACCCTTTCCGGAGATGAAATCATCAAAATTTGCTGTTGCATGCGAGTTATAGGATTCGAGTAAGATTTTCAAAACCGTCTTGTGCTGGGTTGGGATAACAAGTTGCTGAAATGCCTCGTCGTTCCATTCAAATGGCTTGATAAGTTCAACGGCAAATTCAACTGTCGGTCGGTGGATAAGTGAGAGAGTGGTAGATTAGACCCAATCTTTGAACAACTCACGCCAGTGTTTGTCTTGCAGACTAAATCCATAAACGATAGGCGAAGTCAACATCAGTTCATCGCTTGTGAGCTCGCGTTGTGTATCCTTGCTATTTGCAGCATTGATGCGCAGTGCATGTCTATCGATAACCTCGCCTTCTAAAGTTTTGGTTACATGAGGGAGTCTCCCATAATTCGGCGCAGCATCGATGAATGTCTCTACAACCAAGTATCAGCTCCGATCTTCGCGAACATGCGTCCACGTACTTCGATCAACGACCACGCGCGAATTAACCTGTCACGGATTGATTACGTCTGTTAGGCGTGAAGGAAATTCGAGAGGGTTGGAATACACACGCTGCACTGTATGTACTGCTTGTTGTTGTTGCTCCATTGCCACGCCATCCCTTTGTATGCCAAGTGATGGACGCTCCCAGCAAGTTCAACCCACTTCTCCCCACGGGAAACAAGACGACCTTTCAACCCTTCTACACCTCCAGGTCCAGCATAATACTCTATTGGATACGCCGGAAGCATTGAGATTTTTTTCGTTCCAGTAAAATTGGGGACATCCAACATGACACCTAGGCTAGCGTATCCAAAACCGGTCTTCGTACCATTTTTCTCCCCTGGTTCTGGGACATCAGCTTCAACGTAGTCGACTATAAGCCGCCAGAGATATTGCACGCGCTGGTCCGAGTTCTGCTTTCCGCCACCGACAAGCCCAAAGAACTCGAGACCGGTAGGGACAACACCTTCTTGGTCTATCTTCTGGCACATCTCCGCGTGCACGAGGCGCACTGCGCGAGGTTCGCGTGTGATAGGACATAGGATATACAACGTGGTCTTATTAGGCACAAATAATGCCCAGAGCAGATCAAAAGTGATTTCCTTGTGCGCGATCAACGAATCAAGCGTGCCTAGCGTCGTCGCGTAGCTCGTGGTGAGGTACTTCAAGAGGTGATCGAGGTGGGCCTTGTGCAAGTGAATGATGGAGTCTTCCTGCGCGGACTGAACCTCCGATGTCAGTTTCGCTGAGTGCGCCTTGAGGAGACCGAGCTGAGCAAGAAGCGTCTGTGGGTTTACCTGCCAATCGATCTACAGTAAGCGGAGGACATCAACAATTAACGACTGGAACATTACACGCAGAGGCTTTGCAGTCCACGAGACGCCTTGGACTTCCCCCAAAATTTCTTTCCCGATACTTATGAGTGGTTCACTTTGGATCTCTAAGAACGTTTGCACGTTAAATGTCTTAACTGACTGATTGCCGTTGGGTATGAACTTCTTGATGACTGTGAAAGCATATACAGCATATTTTACATCGCCATGCTTGCCTTCACCAGAAGACTCCTGAGGAGGCGCAGCCTTGATCACGTAGTCATGCTTCATCTGATCGAACACCTCGTGCAGATGTTTGATTTCGAGCACCGTTCCGGGCTCCGCATCAGGTACGGGCTCTTCATCCGGCTGTTCCAAGGTAGAAGGATCGTAGTCGACAACTTCGCCAGGAGCCCCAGGAAATGTGAAATAAGGTGGAATGATATCGGCTTGCTCGGGAGTCATTGTGAAATAATATGGATGCAACTATAATCACTCACAGATGTTCACAGAAGTCGTAACATCACGGTGGCGGCTCAAGTGCCGCCGAAAAGACTTTGAAGAATTGAAAGACATGTTGAACATGCAAAAGTGTCTTCACAGTGACCCTACGCGAATTATAAGCCCTCTCTAAGAAGTTCAGTGGCACCAGCGCTAATTCAACCCGCCAACGACTTGTGGCGCCAGAAATGACGGATGAGAAGGCTACAACACAGCCTCATGGTATAACGATGACACAAACGTCGGCAAGCGACGCCTTCAAGTGATCGCATAGTCACCCGCGGATTCAGCGCGGTTAAATGAGGCCATTGCCACCGGAAGACGCGATACGCCGTCGGGCATACGCAACATTATAATTAGCGTGCAAGAAATTGACAACTTACAGAAAACTCGTGGAGAAATGCAGTTAATTCACTGAGCTCGAAAGTCTGATGTGATCTGCTGAAGAAATGTATTCACAGTAAACTTCTGCGTGCATAAATTTAGCAAGTGTAGTAAGGACCACTGAATCAAAGTACCAGAGCGTCGAGAACGAACAGCTTGGAGACAGCATAGATCCGCTAACGTTTCTGAAATACACAGATTCTATCTTAGAGACAGGAAGATGAAGGGTGTCAGGAGGATGTGCACGTCCCTATGTACACTGGAGAGTGGAACCGAATCTGCATGGGCGCTTCAGCTTCAGCAGTTGTACTTGGACTCGGACTTAACCGAGCGGGCATCGAAATCCCATCTTGGTTGACCTCCCGGTTGGGTTCATAGTAGGCAATTGTTAGTTTGTCACTCCAGCTTCAGTGCAGGTTCGCACTTGTGCTGTTTTCTTCTAATCCGAGCTGTAAAAGACGGATTAAGCTATGGGTGAATGTACACAAAAGGCGTGTGAACAGCGCCGCACATCGGATACGGCTTTATCTAGCCGCAAGTCCATCCCGACAAAGCCCTGA